CAAATGCTAAGTTGGAAGTTTATAGTGATTCAGACTATACCGGAGATGTAAAAACCAGTAAATCTACATCTGGTGTCGCTTGCAAATTTGGAAATGGATCAATATGTTGGTTGAGTCAAAAGCAACGATCCGTTTCACTGTCAACTACTGAGTCGGAGTTTATAGCTAGCAGTGAGACAGCAAAAGAGTTGGAGTGGTTGACGAGGCTCTTTGAAGAAGTATTAACTGATAAGTTGTCTACACCTACATTGTACATAGACAACGCAAGTGCAGTTGAATTGATAGACACAAAGACGTGCGATATAATTTTGTTAGAGAAAAGTATGTCGAAGGTGTATTTAAAATCGAAAATATCCCAAACGCAGCTCAGGTACCGAATATAATGACAAATTTTTACCAAAATGTCAGTTTGAATATTTGAGGTATACACTGAGTGTTGCAGAAGAAGAGTTCAGTTCAAGGCGAAGTGTTGAGAAATGAACAAGAATTTGATCTACATCACCATGTATTAGGTTTTGTTTTATTGATAAAAAATGTTGTTGATAGAGTTGTCACTGTCAAGTTAGTTGAATTATTTTTTTCTCTGATTTGCATATTTATTTTCATTAAAGTTGTTTACTGTTGAATAATCCTGTGTTCGACCTAAAACTCAACACATTTCTGATGCCCTAACACTGCTCTTATCGTATTCGTAATGAATTTGTATCATATCTCTTTTTTCTTCATTCGTGAAAGCTATTTTTCGCTAAAAATTCGAAGACTTGTACAATAACAAAATATCATTGAGTGTAACAAATTGAAAGTCAAATTTAGAAACATCAAAGTCCAAGCCTATAATGCCAAGCCTATTACACATCATTTTGAAGATAAAATCTGAATCTATTTGAAACAGATAGATCCAGAACAGATCCATTGTAAAGCTCATTAAAAAAAATAAAGTTGATGATTTGGTCAGGAGACGAAACGTCGGATAGGAAACCTGAAAACACCATTATGTAGCAGAGAAGAAGTGTTAATGTGGAAGTGCAATCCATTTTCGAATCCTTCAAAAAATAATGCCAGAAAAAAATAAAATCAATTTTCGAAATTTCAGTTTCTTCCGGATATACTCGAAATTTCATAACTTTCTCAGAGGCATATTGATAGTCAGGTAAATTAGCAATTTGCCCTAATTCAACCATTTTCGTGCGTTTCATAATTTCTGAAATCCCGAACTTGAAACACTCTGTATTTATTTGAAATGAAACATGACGGGAACTGTTCGGCGTAAAAAGTGCTTAAGTGGATACTAAAATTCGTGAGTTTTTTTTCAAGAAATAAAAGGAATGAAAGCCTGTGAAAATCACATGATTCATTCCATCTAGATATGCCGAATTTTTTTTTCTCTCCAATTTCAGAAACTTTTTGCTTTGAAAACACTATACTTTATTTTTGTCGAACATTAATGTAGTCAGGTACCTTTTGACAATCAGCCGTTAAAACACATATTAAAAATGGAATCATTTCATTTCATGTTCCTCACATAACCTTTCAAGTGTGTTTCAAAGGATTTTTTTTTACAAAAATTTTCTGCTCATTATGATGATCCATAATGAGTGATTTCATTTTTTATGTTCGAGAGGAAATGAAAGAAATGATTTATATTTTACTGATGTAAGAAAAATGAATAAACAAAATTTCATACTCACTTCGAATCGCTGTTAATATTGATCTTCATCGCAGATTTTTTCGACGAAGACAAATAGACGGCCTCCGAAAAATGAAACGTTATCAATTGAGAAATGATATTTATAAACATACTAATCATGAATGATCATTACATAAGGGAAAATATACAGGGTATTCGAACTTCAAACGATTCTACCAGTTCATTTTTCGTTTGTTTAAGCCAAATATCGTGTGGTATATAAGAAGAAGATGGTACCTAGCACATGGACGGTAAATCGTTTTATAAACACTTTTGTATGTTTCATCAAGAAATTCCAATGTGACTTAGTGAGAAATTCAGCTATTTTAACTCAGCGACTTGCCCAGTATTATGAAAAAAAGTTCAACGATCCACGCCAGCAATCTCTGAAATGGTCAATTCTCATTCATTGGAAGGAAAAAGTGAAGCGGTTTTTACTTTCGGTGCGACACGTAAATTTCACGAGACCGAAAGGATTTTCAATTAACGTTTTCCGAATCGTCCAATCCGTAGAAAATATCCAAATTCACAACTACCGGTAGTGAACATAACAAAAAGCCCCCAGGTCATCCGTCCATTCAGGAAAAACAGCAAGTACAAATAATTGGTGAGATGGTAGTAAATCCTGAACAGTCTACTTATTCCGTCGCGAAAGTTTGTGAGGTGTCTCTTTCTACTGTGTGGAGACTTTTGAAGAGGAATAGGTATCATCCATATAAAATTGAAATCTCTACAATATTTGTTTTAGTGACGAATGTACAGTTTTTTAACGGCAATGTTCACAGACAAAATTGCCGTTATTGGAGTAACACCAACCCTTACGTTTTCCGGGAAACACATGCCCAATATCCAGAAAAAATTACCGTTTGGGCAGTAATATTAGGAAACCATATTGTAGGACCTACATTCATTGATCAACATTCAACAGGGGAACTGTATTTGAATCCTAACGAATTTGATATGAATATTGTGTTTCAACAAAATGGAGCACCACCATATTTCTCCAGACAAGTTGAAAACTATTTGGATACTACTTTTTCAGGTCATTGAATTGGCCGTCGAGGTCCTACAGAATGGCCAGCCTGCTCACCATACTTGACACCTTTGAGCTTTTTTTTATGAGTTTAATTCAAGCAAAAGGTGAACGAAACTGAACCTGTTTCAGTATTAAATATACGGTAGAGAATAATAAATATTTGTAGAGATACTGACGTTACTCTGTTCGAAAATATTCGGCGTGAAATATCGGATAGGTTGTTCATATGTCAAGGAATTCAAGGCGAACATTTCGTTCATCTTCTGTACTAACTGCAGGTAAAGATATTGACTTCATATTTTAGAGATGTGAAGTATTCACCAGGAGTTTCAAAACGTCACCAGACCCCCTTTCCATCAGATTTTTTTCTCAGATGGAATCCAATCCTCAT